GAGGGCTGGGCTCACTTCAGACACTTCCCAGCGCAGGAAGACACTCTAACAGGAGCTCAGAGAGACGGGGCAGGGCAAGGCTGGCCCCAGGCGAGTCCCACAGGCAACACATGCCTTGGAGACTTCACCCCAGTCCCAGCTTGGGGGAGCCTGGCCCACCATATCTGAGCAGTCAGAACTTGAGAACTGATTTATGAACCCACAGTGAGAAAAGAACAGCTGGGTAGAGTGGATGGTCAGAGTGGCCCAACCAGAGTTGGCCCTCCTTGCAGCCCAGCCTGAGAAGCCACGTTCATTCCCTGGGGCTGCTTGGCAGCAGTGAACTCCGAATAGGACAGTGACTGATGGGACTGGAATGTGTGGTGGCGTCAGCTCTAACAGCTGCCTCAGTGTCTCCAGGTGGGCAGGCCAGGTCACCACTCTGGGGCATGGAGGCTGGCTACTCCCTCAGCATCGCCACAAGACAAGGACTTGTGGCCTTTGGTCTCTGACTCCAGCTGCCCTCCTGATAGACACATTGTGTCCTCAAGATAAAGCCTTGCACACCTGGGAGCCTTAGCTGTCCTTAAGATAACCACAGTCTGATTTCAAAACTTATCTTATTTGTCGCCAAGGACCACCCACACCTGGCACTAAGTAGGTGATTAATAACTGGTTGCTTCTAGGTTTGTTTTTCATAGGCACATGGGTTAACAATTCTGAAACTACTCTCTGGGTATTCTAGGATTGAGCAAATAAGTAACCTTGAGCCTGGTTTCTCATTGTTGGAGGAAAAAATTGCAAATATGGAAAGAGGGAAGGTTAGAATAAACTCTACGGTGCTGGAATTATAGGTATCGGTATGAACTTGTATTTTTAATATACTTAGAGAGAGAGATAGAAACATATATAGATATGCTATAGGTTTTTTTCTTAGCTCTGACCACTGAGAGGACCTCAGGGTAGTGACGCTCCAGTAGCAATGAGCACACCTAACACCCAGATCCTGGTTTCTGAATACCAGACTCCACCAAAAGGAATCAGGGCTCCTTGGAGAAATTGCCAATTCCAGGGCTAGTGCAGGGAAGGCACAAGATGAACCTGGAATATCTTGCAACAGAAAATAAGGAAGAGCTCAGATTATGATGGGGACATGTCCCAAGAAGACAGGAGCCAGTTTGAAGGGTCTCCTAAGGCCAAATCTAAAACAATTTGAGCCTCAAAATAAATAATGATAGGAAGAGTATAACTCATTGAATAAGAGTCTGATAAAAATAAATAATAAATAAATAAACAGGAAGAGAAAGCTCTTCTTTAGAGCTGAAGGCCAGCTAATAAAAGCAGCCGGCCACCACTCCTCCAGCCATGCTGAGGCCACGTCCCACATACAGCAACTAGAAGGATGTGCAGCTATGACAGACAACTATGTACTGGGGCTTTGGGGGAAAAATAAATAAATA